TGGCCAGATACCAAACTAAATTCACTCTGTGTTTCATCAGAATTATCCAAGGTAAAAGACACATGTTGTTCTAACGAAGAACTGGCAACTGTATTACATCCTAAATGATTCAATGTCCTTTCTGACTCATTCATGTGATATAATGAATACGTTTCCAAAAAGTTATTCACCGATGAATATGAAGTGAGATCTAGTTTCATTAGATAGTATAAGAAAATAACATTTTAGCATTAGATTACTTTCAATAACTATTACAATAAAAACACTATTTGAGAGTACAGAGATGACTGGTAAAGATATTCGATTTATTGAAGATACAGACAATACTGTTTGGAAAGAGATCGATGAAGGGTGAAATCTATCCAGCTAAAAGAATTTTCTGCATAATTTTGGTTTTTGAATTTTCCAAACCATAAATAAAAATACATCCATTGGTTAAAAACGAACAAATTCAAATTCGTAAACAAGCTATAAAAAAGTATTGGACATGAAGACTTTATAGCATATATCACTTATGAAAACTATTAAATGTTTTCATAGAAGAAACTTAGTTCATGAATCCAATGTAGTTAAAAGGATAAGCATATGTAAAATTTATTCACAGAAAAAGGGATGTTTGACTGAATAACGCGTTAAACTACTGATTTCTGTAACAACTCAATGTTTTCATCTATTATATTGCTGAAGCAATCTATACGAAAAATTAACATCAGTTGTGGTGAACAGAAAAAGAGTTGATATGAAATATTAGTAATTGCACTGTATAAGCGCGATTGTAATGTAAAGTCATACTACGAAATAGACAAAGCAGTGACCAGCAATAAATATTCCCAAAATGTCTCTAAAATAACAATAAAATATACCAGTAATATCAGCATAAACATGTTTTTGCAAATATTTTTTTTGAATTATATGCAAGAAGCTTTGCAACTCAAAAATCTTCCAACTTTATATTGTAAACAAATATTGAGCATTTAGGACTTCTAACCAATAACGTAGCGATTTCATCAAACTAACTAATTGTGCAGTTGACTCCAAGGATGTCTGATACGCTGCTGAATTCCTGACTAGATTTTATTTGGCAGTTATTTATCTATTTCGCATAAATAATGAAAAACATTGTGGTCTATTTGAATTCTTCGCAATTGTATCTATATCGAAATTGTTAAACATGATAGGAACTGATAACCATCACTCAGTGGTATGTTTAAACAGATAGTTTTAATACTAAATGGATATCTGTAAATGATTACTATTATTTCACGAGCACTAGTATTTAAATTAGATTCAATAGTATATTATCTCTATCTTAAGGATTATTGTAATCAAGCAAGTGAGAAATTTAATCTATGATAAATTTGAAAATATAAGTATCGACAGTGTTTTTAGATGAGAACAGATAAATGAACTATTAAAACATCGTTAAAAAAATTGACAGAATGAAACATAAAAGAAAAAACCTTACAAATCAACGATAACTTACTATTTCCAAGTTTGTTTAGTGAAACACTTGAACTATCAATTGTGTCAAACTGAAACAAGAAAAGATTTCATTCTTTATCATAAAGAAATCATCAGATAGTCCAGAAGAGTTGACTATAGTAATTCATATTGCTTATCAATAGTTGTTGAAAAATATGATTATGAAATAATTCAAATGATTAAATTAATGAATACAACAAATTTTAACTGTTTTTTTACGATTTACTATTACTAATATAATCTATTCAAAGTCTTGTCTTTTTGGACCTTAAGGCGGCATTCGACTCAGTAGATCGTGAGGTTCTGTGGCAGTGTCTGTCATTAAAAGGTTTACCAAAGAAGTACGTTAACCCTATACAAATTCTCTACTCGAACACCACTGGTCGAGTGAGAGCTTATGGCGAACTGTCATCTGAATCCTCTACATCAAGTGATAACCGTCAGGGATGTCCAATTTCTCCATTCTTGTTTAATTTTATCATAGACATGCTCCTAGATATAACATTATCTTCATCTGAATTTTCAGGAGTAGACCTATCACCAGGAGGCTCGCTTATCGAATTAAAATATGCCGATGATATAGTCCTACATGGTGAAGACGCTGACAAAACGCAGTCTTTTGACTACCCTAAGCAACAATGCAAGCAAGTTCGGGATGAGGTTTTCCTCCTCGAAATGCAAAATGTTGCTTCAAGATCGGGTTGCATCGGTACCTGAACTAGTGAAAGGGAGAGAAGTCGTTGAGCGTGTAGACCACTTCACTTATCTTGGGAGTCTCATCAGTGCTGATGGCCTGGTGTGTGACGAAATCTCAGCGCGGATACAGAAGGCTCTATTGGCTTTTGTTAACCTGCGTCATTTATGGCGCAGGCGAGATTTCTGCTTGTTAACTAAAGGACGAGTGTACCGTGCAGCAGTTCGCTCTGTCCTACTATACGGATGCGAGACTTAGCCGTTAAGAGTAGAAGATATTGGTAGGTTACTAGTCTTCGATCATAGATATTTAAGAAGCATTGCTCGTGTATCCTGGGACGACCGAGTAAGCAATGGTGTCGTTAGGAAACGAGTTCTAGGTAAGGATGGCAAATCAATAGATGAAGTATTGAAACTTCATCAGTTGAGGTGGTTGGGACATGTGTTACGTATGTCTAACCACCGACTGCCGCGACGAGTTATGTTTTGTGGTGTAGGAGTACGTTAGAAGAAAGTTAGGGGCGACCAGACCAAAACATGGCACAAATCCATGAAGTCACTGATAGGTGGACTGAGTCATGTTGATAGATGTACGCGAGACGAAAGTCACCGATGGTTATAGACCTTAAACGACATGGCTCAGAAGCGTTTGCAATGGCGCAAGTGCATCCACTCTTTGTGTTCTATGAAATTCTAACCTTCTGAATTCCTCATCATCTCTATCTTTCTCCTTCTAAATTTATTTTACTGAATTATACTTTTCGAATTATATCTTCGCTCCCTAATCTTCTCCATTGCTGCTAATAATTCTAGTATCGCTATCACTCTTGGGTTTGAACTGACATTTACCTCTCTGTGCTGACGTGGTATGGCAACCTGAACTGATGTACTTATTTACGAAGTTCTGCGTTGTATCTGTCTGTCTATTCAAAGTCTGATGGGTCAATTCTCAATAAGCACCAATGAAATGATCATGCTATAATTAATTGGAATATTTTCTTTTCAACTGTTACATACAGGAGAAAAAAAACTTATGATTATATAATCTATGCATTTTACAAATATTCTATAAAAACCATTGTTTTGAATGTTTAATCAAAGTAATATAATATAAACGAGGATTATAAATGAACCAAACAATGCAATTAGTAAGAAAAATATCCCGTTATCACTATACATAATTATAAATAATATCAATAACATTAGAAAATAAATAACATAACGGTAATTCAATTAGTTGGCTTACTTTAAGTTCATTGATACGATTTAAACTTTGTAGCACAAGAACCAACATTGCTAAACTTTGAACATCATGTATACGAAGAAAATGTCGAATCCTGTGTTCAAAGAAAAAAAAAAAAGAATTTCATTTTTTTTCTTCCAGTAAAGAAAATAAGAATAGTTCGAATCACATAAATAGTAAGTTTTAATTATTTACAGTAACCATAATTTTTTTTACAAGGTCAATTTGATGTTAAGCTTACAGTGGATCAGTTTACACTTAGTTAATCAATATTAAGTGATAATCACATGTGATCTACACAAACAAAAAAGGACAATGATTAAAACGTTGCAATATAAAATAAGTGAATGAATAACTTATGAATGATATTTTACCGTTTAAAATGATCAATTCCAAGTTCAGGTTATGATAGCATTAAAAAAGTGACATTACTAATTTCTACACACAACCAATCAATAAAACATCTTATTACCATGAAAGCGCATGTCATTGAAATATAACGTAAGCTGGATTCATTAATATCGACAGAGAAAAAGATAATAACAGAAGAGAAGGATAATCTCAGTGCAATTAAGCAAAAAACAATAAGATGATATAATGTAGATTTCAATAAAGATGTTAGGTTATGTTATTTTGAAAACAGTATTTCGTTAAACTAACTATGATCCTATTCATAATAAATTCATGACAATAATTAACATCTTGTATTACTTATATAACGATCTACTAATCAACTACTTACCATAAGCTTTGCGAGTAAACCAATAACGACAGGGTTCTATCTCAAAAATAAACTAACAAACCTTTAAGACAATTATACTAAGATGAAATTGTGACGTCTTATTAGCGTAAGATTATCATAGTAACACTTAACTAGCATCGAAATGAACACTAATAATTGTATTATTTATGTTCATATTACTTAAAAAGTAAAAAAAATGCCGATTATCTAAAAGAATTTTAAATGCGTAAAAGATTGATAGAGTTAGTAAAGTAACCTTAATGTTTTTTGAATGGAACATCATGAATTAATAAGCTTCACAAAACCACTCATTTGAAAAAATTACATAGGTGTATGTACATTTTCAATTTGCTGCGTAACTGTCTTAGTTTCGTCGTTTGTATCCCGAAAAGATGTTTGTATAAAAAGATACAATACGAAACTACATTATTCATTCACGTTAGAATAAGCTAACGAATAATTGTTATCATCATAAGTGTTTAAAGAGAAGTTTGATCAGATCGAAAAATGATCCATTTTATTGAATAAAAATTGTCTTAACAAGGAATACTTTCTAGTTTTTTTGATATTATACTACTGTTAAACTGACATACTAAACTAACTCGCTATATGTATAGAAAATATGCTTTGAAATAATCTATTTATCAGGAATACTGATGTCGAAAAAACTAATACAAAGTCTCTAATCTCTTTACTTTAAGAGTGACGTACACACTTATTGGGCTAAGATATTGTTTTTAGGTAAGATATTTAGGATCACTAAAACTAGTTTACTTCCATCTGAAGTTTGTGCTGATGATGTGGTTCAGAAGAACAATGAAAGCTTCAAAATCAAAATATCCAGCTCAGAGAACGAAACACCACCACAACTAGTTTATTAGAAACTACTTACCATGTATCAAATAACGGTCTTCCAATTAATTGTGAAGCTAGAGGTTGATAAGCTTGATGAGAATAATCTGTATTACCATATGAAATTGAAAGCACTAGAGCATATTGCCAGAACTATGTTAGATGTTTATAAAAGCAGAAAGAAAATAGCAATAAACAAAGAAAAATTATGACACAAACATGCTAATGAATACGTGAACAAAAGTAATTACTTCCAGTGTCTATAAATTGTGGCTAGTAGTGGAATACCGGATGTGATTTGGTCTAACATGGCATTGGTCAATTGTATGTGCCTATATCGTAGTACATGGAGATTCATATTGGAGGGTTTAACGCTAAGATAAAACAGTTTTGCTGAGGTTTAAGGAATGCAAAGAACTAGTTAGACCGATTTCCACAAAACCCATTTATTATTTCTTAAAAACTAGTTTATTCTTTTTGTTTTATTGTAACAGTTCGTCGAAGTGAAAAACCGGTTTTGTGATGATTAGCGACTACTTTATCCTACATCGTTTCACCTAAAATGGATAAAAAATGAAGTAAAACCATTTAAACACATTATTGAGTTTACGTAAGTTCTCCGTTAGATTGCACGACATAACTTGACATGATAAAATCTATCTTAAATTAAAAACTTGCAAAACTTCCGATTGAACACAACGGTTAACTAACTAGATTACGGAGTTCTAACAATTTATGTTTTATACCATTGAAGCTAGTATTGAAATGATTGTATACAAGTGTAAATTATAGATAGAATGAGGAAATTCATTGACAGAACGGACGAACAAATATGTATTTACCATTTAAACTCCTCCCGATGAACTAGTTACGTTGGGCGCACAACTAGACAAATGTATCGACATATTTCAGAACAATGGAAAACATTAAAAATCTCCATCTTGCAGTATCTAGTCGATACTGATCACCATCAGCATTTAAATTTATTGATAAAATCTCTTCACATTTTCCCGATGGCTTCATAATTTGACTGGCACATATTGCAGAACCCACCGATTGAATATCAATAAACGGAATCTTTGTATACAAGAAAAGTTTGTGCAGTTCCGTAACTTACACTGACCTTCCAAATACATGCTATTAAATATCCTAAAATTTTTATTCCACTTTCTTTGAACTTTTACGAACTTTGTTTTGTAGACATTTAGCTATCGTTTCGAATAATTTTATGAATAACAAAATACTAATGTTGACATCCAATTTCAACTCTTACTTCTAATGTTATTTAACAATTCACATTAATTAACTGATCATGTAAGTTCATTTTAGTTTTCAATTTTATTCTTTGAAACGTTATGTAACAATCTAACTATTATATTGTTAAATTGTCTCAACATCATCTAACAGGTAACGACTCATTATCCTGATATGTTCGTCACTATGAACGCTTGAAGCTATTACGAGTTCACCAGCGTCCAGATAGGCTACCTTGAATCCCAAGCTGAAGACAGAAGGCTTTGTAAGCGTAGAAAGTATATTCTACAAACACTCAGCAATCACTATATAATCAAGCACACAACTCTCATTTATTTATACATCATAGAAACGTCCTTGGGACAGTTGCGAAAATAGCACACTAAAATACACAGCAGCCAATCACAGCCACGGATTCTCCTGGTGGGAAATGAAACTCAAGGTCAACTGATCAACCCATGCTAGCAAACGTTAAATCCAAAATAAGGCATTTATCAAGCGAGTTTCGGGGATCTAACATCCCCAACAATCCGTTTGTTTAAAATATTGTCTTCTATATGTCAATCGGAATATTTAATATGTGACATTATTAAGAATTCTTTCTTTAAATACGGAAAAACATATTTATTTGCAGAACAAACTGCATATTATTAGTAATACAAAATAAATAAATAACTATATGCTTACTCGTATTAGATCCTTCCGATGAGTATTATGGGCTGCTTGAAGATTGTGAAGACACATTTGATGCAAATTGGTGGTGTTTAAACTAAATATATGTGAAAGCAAAGAAAAGTGAATGAAGTAACATAGATTAATTAGAATAATATCCGAGCGTAGCTGCGACCTGGACGTGGTGGTCGAGCTTGACTATCAGGATGACCCAACCAAACAAGATCGAGGAGAACATATCCATAATTTAGGATCTACTATGCCAGGCACGTTGATTAGCGAACAGTGAGACAGAAAGAAGTAAATCGAGCTTTGAAAACAAAGGTGTTCTCATGACTGTAGATTATTGTGACAGAAGTAAGATGTTTCCTTAAAATAAACAGTGTCTGCAGTGATGCTGAGCTTCTCTCAAGAAAGGAAGAACTTAGAAATGGTAGACCCTAAAGACGCCAGATCTCACCGATTTCCGTCTCCAGATGTAAGACTACTCAAAGAACAGAGCTAACATTGTACAAACTTCACTGGTCGCTCAGACCAGCCATAATCCAATATCATTATCAGGGTCCTCACCAAACACACTTCCATGGTGAACGAGGCAGGGAAGTGACATCTGTCCTCATACCAGTAATAGCACACCAGACTAAATTGGTCACAATCAAATCCTTCCTACACCACTAAATATTTCTCTTACCTCCACAACCAACCCTTCGTCCATCGCTTGGCAACCTCGTGTCACTGATGCAAACGAGTCCAATCCTGGTCTCCTGAAACCTCGCTCTAAACTATATATTGCAGCTCTTAATGTTCAAATCTTACATTGAATAGGGCAACAGGCTTCATTAGCTACGACTCTCGAATCCAGTGCCATCGATGTATGCTCAGTCTCCCAAATGCACATACAGGACCCGAGTAAAATCATCAATATGATTTCATCTTGCCCAGAAAAAGAACCCACTCGGCTTACGTGACGTACATCTAGGAGCCCAGCTGCTATTTCCCTTGGCCTCACAGGTGTAGGTATAGTATCAAGTCGTAGGGCAGAACTAGCTATCCTAGACTGGATCCCAGTAGACAGTCGCTGTGCGCTCTCCGATTAAGCAGGACAGTACGGACTCATAAAGATAGGGAAACTCGCCGTTGCCTCTTCTTCGTCTCCGCCTACGCTCCCACTGACTGTAGCTCAGACGAGATAAAAGATGAGTTTTACAGAAACCTTTCCAACCTTCTTCGAAACGTTAAGCGCTCTGATGTAATAATAGTGGCTGGCGACTTTAATGCTCAAGTAGGTAGACTGAGCAAAATGGAAAGAAACCTGGATAGATCTTATGGTGTTGCGACTCACAGAACAGATGATGGTGACCTTCTGCTGCAGCAGTGCTCATGTTATTACCTATTTCTAGCAAATAATAACTTCAAACACGAGGAAAATCATCTTTTGACCTGGCGACCCCCGAAGTCGTCCCAACGTTGGACTCAAGAAGATCATATCCCTATCAGCCACCGATGAAGAGGCTCGATTGAAAACTGTCACTCAATCTGGAGCATATGTTTAGATTCTGATTATGCTATAGTATGAGTGCTTATTTGTTTGCATCTTATTGAACGTAGGAAGAACACTGCAAGAGAGACAGAAGGCCTCAACTGGCTTTTGCCAACTTGCATCACTTAGGGCATAAGCGAGATATCCGTTTGCTAATCATAAGACGAGTCTACTGTGCAGCAGTTCGCTCCGTCCTACTACACGCGTGTGAAATATGGCCAGTAAAACTAGAGGACACTTGTAGGTTATTAGAATTCGAACATAGATATCTTTGAAGCATTGCTCGTTTATCCTGAGACAGCCGAGTATGTAATGCTATCGTTAGGAAACCGGTAATTGGTAAGGATGGCATACCAATAGATGCAATAGTGAAAATCCATTAGTTGAAGTGGTTGGGACATGTGTTACGAATGCCCAACCACCGACTGCCTCGACGAGCTATGTTCCGTGATGTAGGAGCAGATTGGAAGAAAGCTAAGGATGGCTAAACTCAAACATGGCAGAAATCCATGAAGTCACTGAAAAAAGGGTTGAGTCATGTTGGTCAGTGTAGACTACCTGGTTTGGGTACGCGAGATGATAGAAATCAAAATTGTTTGCAATGGCGCTGGTCCATCCACTCCTTGTCTTCTCTCAAATTCTATTCTTCTGAATTCTTCATCACTATTATCTTTTTCCCTTTAGGTTTGTTTCACTAGAATCTACTTCTCGAATAATAATCTTCTCGATTACCAGTAATACTCCTACTATCTCCACCACTATGGGATTTGAAATGACCATTGCGTTTCTCTGCTAATGTGGTAAGGCGACCTGAACTGATGTATGTACGTACGAAGTTCTTCTTTGTAGCTGACTCCTTGAATTAGTATAATATTTGTATTTAGAGATTTCGCAAGTAAATTTTCTTTATCGAACTAAGACACTCATAAAAATTCAAAATTACAGAAGTAGGAAGATAAGCTACAAAATCAGTCGCACTGGATCAGGCGATCATATATTCTTCATCTACTTCTTCAATTAAATGTTGAGTGTGATTGTTATTTAATGTATTGTGAACTTCAATTTCAATTATTTTTTTCAAGCCGTATTTTCTGTTCTGTTTTTTTAGGTCACTGATACTACCAACGTTTTGTCTAGCTTGCTATTCATACTTTGATCAATTTGCTTTTACTTTGGTAGATTGAAGGTGGGTACATGAAGCGATAATGATTCATTACATGTCCAACGCTGATTGGTTGAAGAAAATAGTCTTTCAAAGTAATATCGTAGTAAATCGAATGACATCATATTTTATTAAAAATCATTAACTATTTGGAAATGCACTTTAGAATTTTTGTATAAAATATTATGGTGGAGAATACAAACAGAATTTAAAGTGTTTATTATCTACCAATACAAATATAATACCTTTGGAAAACTTATTATATCAAATTAAAGTCTCATTATTAGCCCTTAGTTTAGAAAGTTTTGGTTAATAAATGAAAAAAAAAAAAACTATAGATAACAGTTGTGTATAGAAAGTTCAAGTGATTTATTCAGACGATTATTTTAGAGATACATTTATCTTTATGTGACTTGATTTCGGATCATTCCATTTGTTTAATTCCAAACTCTTTTAAGTGAATTACAGTACAGTAAACAAACAAAATGAACGTATATTTATTCAGCTAGAATAATGGTAACCAACTAACAGGTACTTTTAACGCAAACTAACTAAACAGTCATATGATAGCTTTATTGAAATAAAAAATCTGAAAAAATTCGTCATAATAAAGAATAAATGATTTTAAAATTAAAGCTATTCATTCAAACACTAAAAAATATTTGGAAAAAAAAGATACGTAAATAAATACAAGCTAACGAACCTGTAGTCATACATTAAATGCCGATCCCAAATTAAAGGACTCATATCATAAATTTGAACAGTAGATGGATCTGTAAAGTGAACACAATTAGAATTTTAAAGATTCATTCAAAGTGTAAAGAGAAAATTAAAACAAATTTAATGATTAATTTATTGAGAAACTGATTTAAGAAGAAATGCTTTTACACTTAGCAAAAGTTTTGAGATTAAGCAATATGAATTTGCTTGAATACAGTAACATTGGATTTATCTATCGTGAAAAGTAACTTTATGTAACTGTACTTGCGCATTGGAAACATTTCGAGCAGATATCTCAAGTGAAGAATGGATTAACTTTTGTTTTACCCAGTAAAAAGTTGCAAAAAAAGAAACATGATGTGATATTTTACAAATAGCCAAAAATGTATGTTTACAAAATACCATAAAAGAGGAGCTAGATTTATATATATGTTGATTGAAATAGGTTATATACAAAGTTTTGTGAGGAAGCATCTGTATACAGTTAATAATTATTCAGATACACAATGCAACAAAGACATAATAAGCATTGTTTTATACAATGGACTAAGTAGAGGACTATTTCTGCAGCTAATTTTTATATCACTTTCTAGTTGACTAATAAAGGTCGATTGATTAACTAACAAGTTACTTGATTTTGCAATGTCGATATTATTTTTAGCAATTCATATACTCAAGTGTACTTTCAGTTATACGGTTAGTAAGCGTTTCTCTTTTGTCGTTTATAAAAGGTCAAATTAAGTCAATAAGCAGGTCCATTCTACCTCAATAGAGGTGATCATTTGATAAATATAAACACAATAATTAGAGTGATTTTTTAATTATTTTCATTTCGCCAAATGGGCTTTGATCCTGTTTCTTGTACAAAGAGGAAGTCATCGAAAATCGATTCAATAACCCGAATCTTTGCGTTCAAAAGGAATTTGTAATACATTTCTGTCCCTATCTCACTAACCGTTTTTACACATTGCTTTTATTCACCTGAATATATATATATATATATATCTTCTTCACTACTTATATTCATTCAGAAGTAATATTATAATGATAAGTATTTTACAAGTTTATTCTTGGAAGTTTGCATATGTTTTCAAAATAATGATATTAACTTAATCCTTAATATACTTATAATAACTATGACACTTGTCAAATTAATGTCAATTTATATTGCTTTTATTTACTGAATATTAATGGCTGTTTAGAGAGTCTATTTTTCGATGATTCACAAAATTCCATGATTGCTTTTATAATTTTTCATACAGGTATTATTACCGTATACGTTAGCATGATGGAAATCTAACTATAAAGCAATAATATTCACTTTAATGTATTGTTTTAGTTAGCAGCAAAGAAATTAAATACTTAAGACTCCTATTCCCTATCAATGATAGATCTTGATTGATATAATAAATATTTCTTTTACACATAAGCTAATGAATCAAATTTATTCGTTGAATGTGTATGCAGAACAAAAATGAGTGTACATTTAGAATAAGGTTGAAATGTACTATACTATATTTATTGAGCGTATTTTTGTTGAAAGAAGAAAGCATTAACTGTTTAGGCAATTTTCTGTACTTAAGGTAATTACAATAAAATTTAATCTTGCAGATATTTTGGCATGTCGAAATGATAAATAATTATCTATTGTGTAACTTTTACTATACACCGTTACAGGTGGATACTAAATGACAAGATAAATTATTTTAGTTGAATATATTACATACCCATTGGTCCTTAAATTTACATACATATATATTTCCCGACAGTAGCTGCTATCTTGAAGTAGTAGTCGAGTTTGACTATTAAGATGACCCAACCGAGCTGCATTGCCTGGAACATATGTTCCTGTCGGTTCGACAATGCCAGGCAGGTTGATCATTCTTCGTCAGGTCCAAGAACATAGATAAACGTTCAGTCGTCCCACAATAGTAGTAGGCCTCGACCTTAAAGAGGCATTTGACCCTCTCGATCGTGAGGTTCTGTGGTAGAGTTTGTCAGTAAAAGGTGTACCAAAGAAATACGTGTTCTCTCAAATCCTAATCTTCTGGATTCTTCAACCCCTCTAGTTTCGACTTTCTAAACTTTCTCACTAAATCATATTTCTTGAATATCTTCTAATCCTAACCTCTCCAATTACTTCTAATACCTTTACTACCTCTACTACCATTGGATTTGAATTGACAGTTATATCTCTGTGCTGATACGGTATGGCAACATGAACTGTTGTACTTACGTACGAAGTTCTACGTGGCATCTGACTGACTCACTAATGGTCGAGTGAGAGCTTATAGCGAACTGTCATCGGAATTGACTACTTCGAGTGATGTCCGTCAGGGTTGTCCACTTTATCCATTCTTGCTTAACTTTGTCATAGACATGCTTTTAAAGTTAACATTATCTTCGACTGACTTGTGGACTGAGAAGATGCCGATGACATAATTTTATTTGGTCAAGACTCTGACAAAATGTAATCTTTTGACTACCCTAAGCAACAATGCAAGCATGTTCGGAATGCGGTTTTCCTCCTCAAAATGCAAAATGTTGCTTCAGGATTGGGTTGCATCGGCACCTGAACTAGTGATAGGGAGTAAAGGTGGTAGCACATGTCGACCGCTTCACTTATCTCGGGGGTCTCATCAGTGCTGATGGCCTGGTGTCTGACGAAATCTCAGCACGGATACATGAGGGTCGATTTGCTTTTGCCAACTTGCATCACTTATGGTGTGGGCGAGATATCCGTTCGCTAACCAAAGGACAGGTGTAATGCGCAACAGTCCGCCCCGTTTTACTATAAAAATGTGAAACATGGCCAGTCTGAATAGAAAATGTTCGTAGGCTACTGGTTTTCGATTATAGATATCTTCGAAGCGTCGCTCATCTATCCTGGGACAAGCGAGTAGGCAATGCTGTTGTTAGAGAACATGCACTAGGTAAGGATGGCAGGTCAATAGATTAAGTATTGAAACTTCATCAGTTGAGGTGGTTGGGAAATGTGCGCACGTATACTCAACCACTGACTGCCAAACCAAAACATGGCAGAAATCCAAGAAGTCACTGACAAGTGGATTGAGTCCTGCTGTTAGGTATCGACTACCTGGTTTGGTTCCGTGAGATGATAATAACCGATGGTTAGAGACTTGAACGATGTGGCTCAAAATCGCTAATGCATCAACTCCTTGTCTTCGCTCAAATTCTAATCTTCTAAATTTCTCATCACTTTTATCATTTTGTCTCTAAGTTTATTTCACTAGAATCTACTTGTTAAATGATTTCTTCGAACCCTAGTCTTTCCGATTACAGCTAATACTTCTAGTACTATAGGATTTGAATTGACTACTGCATCTCTGTGCTAATGTGGCACGTCAACCTGAACTGATGTACGGACGCAAGAAGTTCTACGTTGTAACTTACTGAATATATATATATATATATAGTCAGTTAGTTGCAGAATAATTACATCCAATGTTGATAACTATCAAGATAGAAAATTTATGATGAATTAATAGTTTGATTTTATTCGTCATTCCAATATTTTAGGCAACCATTTAATTGTCAGAACATTTTTTAAATATACTATAGAGCGATGTTTTCAAGGTTGCACTATAGTCTAAATGTTAAGAAAACAAAGTTAGATTAGAAGAATAAGGAATGTTTAGTCATGTGACAAATGAAGTGCAGACAAAAAAAAGAAAAGTAAAACTCAGAAGAGATAATTATTTGTTATTCACTATGAACTATAAAAAGTTGGAAATCAGTAATGACAATGGCTTAAATTTTTGTAAGAATGATTGATTGAATATAATGCAATACAATAAATAAGTTCAGGTCTGATTCGCTTTAATTGCTAGTGAACTTAATTCATGTTCGCTGTAATTTTATTTAGATGTAATACTATGAATAGATGTGATCCGTTCAGTATACCGATATATATATATATATATATATATATATATATATATATATAATTTCTAAGCAAACATATTTGATTAGTAAATACTTTTAGGATAAATACTTACTGACAATTGAATGAACAAACACTGATTTAACTTATAATTGTATAGAGTAATTATAGAAGAAATATTGTAACTTGTGATAACATACATATTCTTGATATTATATTCAATTTTGACGATACAATATGAAGGCGGTATAAATATGAGAAAAAAAACATTGCCGTCATTTAGGATAAACAATGTCAATATCGGATATATATATATATATATATATATATATATATATATATATATATATATATATATATATATATATACGTATATATTGCCACGATTGTCGGCAAAGCTAACTTTTTAATCAGATATCATAGTAATAACAACAGCAATGATAAAATCGTATCAATTCCCATTTATTTAAATGTCTAAGCTTTAATTTTAATATATATATATATAGACTTGTTTGTATATAGCGCATGAGTTTCTTTACGAGAACTTTACTTGAAAATTCCGTTTTGAATTATATCTAAAACAAACTAAACTAATAACAAGAAAGAATAAAGTTGACGAGTGAAATGGAACCAAATTATGCGCTCTTATGCTAATGCTTAGGTAAGCATTAAAAATTAATTTAACACACACACGTGAATTGGATAACTAAAACTCTTTCGGAGAACTTTTATGATTTATCTTCAAAACAAGAGAAAATCAAAGCATAGATAGTTTTCACTATTTTCATATGTCAACTGTGATGTATATATGCATTGCTGGAGAATTAGAGAATAGTTAAAAAGACTTACAAATCATATTGAAATGAGTAAGAAACACTTCATTTGAATTATTTTCGTCGGCAGAGTTAGGACATTTTGTTGACATGGAATTGAGCCATTTTTGTTCCGCGACACGAACAGATTCAAAAGAATTCTTTTATAACAAATAAAAAAACATGACCGGAGTTCATAAACAACAGAGTAGTATACTAAATTGATTAGTTTCGATAATTATTGAAAATTTAGTGTATTAGTACTGAAATGTTCATAAGAAATTGATGATTCTTTCTATTGAGAATGGAGTATTTGGAAACACACGTTTTAAACTTCCTAAGTATTGGAAATAGTCACGTTTCCTAAAAAGGACTGTAAAACTGAGGGTTCTGTAACTAGTTTTAAAAGAATCAATTTGAGTACTTTTCCAGCTAACTTTAAATCTTGTGTACCGTTCGTTTTCGCCTTGCTCAAAGATATTCCATTGCTAGTGATTCTTTGTTCTGATACACTACTTTTTTCGACCTAATAGAAATGTATTATTACATGATAACCATCCAGGAAACTAATGTTCTATAGTTTGACAACTGTTGTTACTGAAATGCCTAAATTGTCTTCAGAACCCGTTCCCATAACTCTGGCTACGTTTAAATGTTAACTGAAACACTAGCGATAAAGCACGAATTTCTGGTAAAAGCTTTACTGTAAGTAAGTTTGTGTATATAGAAACGAGGGTATGTATGAAGTTGTACACAACATTGGGGTTCTGCAATTTTCCAGAATCATACTAAATATAGCTACAGTAAGGGCAATATCCAAATAAAAATGTGACGTCTCGCATTTCGAGGGGGAAAACCTTTTCCTATACATGCATTGTTGCCTAGAGTAGTTAGAAGACACTGCATTTTGTCACCGTCTTCACCAAGTAGAACTATATCATCGGCCTATTCTCAGTCTACAATCACGTATCCTGGTAGAAGGTTCACTCCTGAAAAGTCAGTCGAAGATAACGTTGACGCTAAAAGCATGTCTATGACAAAATTGAACAAAAATGGGGAAGGTGGACAGCTCTGACGGACACTACTTGAAGTAAAGAATTCCGATGAAAGTTCTTCATAAGCTCTAACTCGTCCAGTGGTGTTCGCGCAGAGAGATAGTATATGGTTAATGTACTTCTTTGATACACCTTTCAATGACAGACACTGCCACAGAACCTCACTGTCGACAAAGTAACATGCCGCCTTAGAATCCAGGAAGACAACTATTGTCGAACGGCTGAATGTGTGTCTGTGTTCGAGAACCTGTCGAAATGTGAAAATGTGGTCTATGCAGCCACGTCCGGGTCCGAAACCAGCCTGGTTTTCTCTAGTCTGCTCATCACGAGCCCTAGTTAGGCGTTTAAGTAATGTCGAGGCTAACAATTTAGACACCATATTAGTTAGACTGATTCCCCAGTGATGGTCACTGGATTCCTAATTTCTGTTTCCTTGATAAGGCGGAACAGTTGTCTACTGATTCCTATGACTGCTTTTTTTCCATCGCTCTTGCTTTCGCAACCCACCACTGTTCGCGATCATTGCGTAGGCTTTTTATCAGCCTGTGCTTAAGCTAACTCCGCTCCTCACCGTACTCAGAGCCAGGTGGGATGAGTTTTCAAGTATCCATCAGTCCCATCGATGCTACCGAAGTCCACGACTTCTCCCTAACCTTATGGTTTACCTTACTAGCAGATAATACCGCTGTGTCCACAGCTTTCCGGATATCATTCCAAGCTGCCTCAGGGTGAGCATCACTTACTCTATGGTTGTCTAACTGTTTTTCTAATTGTACCTGATGTATATTCTTAGCAATGCTATTATTGTTTAGAACCCAGAGAACTTTCTTTGCGGTGTCTTTCCTGCATCCAGTAAGTCGCAAACAAATACGCGCTCGCGAATGTAAACATGTACTCTAGAATGAGAGACAGTATTCTATCGAGCCTCTCCACCGATGGTTGATAGGGATGTGATATATTTGAATCCATCGTTGTGTCGGATTTCGGGATCGCCAGGTCAAAAGATGTTTTTCCTAGTGCTTAAAGTTAGTGTTTGCTGGACATAGGTGATTATATGAGCATGGTTGCCGCATAAGGTCGCCATTATCCGATCTTTGAGCCGCGATACCGTAAGACCCACCCAGGTATCTTTCCTTTTCACTTAGTAAACCTACTCGGGCATTAAAGTCACCAGCCACTATTATTACATCAGAGTGACTAATTTTTCGGAGAAGGTTCGAAAGGTTTCTGTAAAACTCATCTTTTATCTCGTCTGAGCTACAGTCAGTGGCAGCGTAGACTGAGACAACGAAGAGTTTCCCTATATCTACGAGTCCTTACTGTCCCGTTTAGTCAGACAGCGCATAAGTGACTGTTCACCGGGATCCATTCTAAAATAGCTAGTTCTGCACTACGACTTAATATTATACCTACATCAGTGAGAGCACGGGAAGAAGCATCAGGGTTTCCAGATACACGAAGAGTAAATCGAGCTGCTTCTTTATTTTGAGATGGTGACGTCAAATGAATGACGCTACTCGGATCCTGTACGCTTGTTCTGGCGACGCAGCACACATCGATGATGCGAGATTCTTATGTCCAAGCTAAGGAAGCCTGTTGTCCTATTTGACACAAGATCCGAACATTAAAAGATCCAGCACGTAGTTTAAAACGGTGTTTCATGACAACAGGAACAAAGTTTCGTGAACTAGAATTGTTTGCATTTGAAGTGCAGGGTGATACATGGATGGTAGAAGGGTGAGTCGTGGATATGTTGTGTGAAGGATTTGATTGTGACCAATTTGGTCTCGTATGCTGTTACGGGTATGAGGGCGGATGTCACTTCTCAGCTGCCTACTTCATGGAAGGGTATTTCTTGAGGAACCTGGAAAGGAAGGTAGATTAGTGTTGGTCATACGGATCTGGGAGCGTGACCGCAGAGCCCAAAGGACAGCCGTTTCAGGCCGGTCACGCACGGCCTTTTCACGAAAGGTTTTACGAGTATTAGGTCCGCTCTTTTCAAAGCCCTTATTAGGCAGCCTTATCGCCAGAGACGGAAATCCGTGAGGTAGGGTGAGGTGTGACATTTTGAGGTTCGACCTTTTCTAACCCTTCCTTCCTTGTGAGAAGGCAGCATCGCTGCAGATGCCGGTTGTCCGAGGGAAACACCTTACTGCTGTCACACCCCTCCGCAGTCAGCAGTACGACCGCCCTCAGACCTTGAGTAGCTGCTTTTAGTCTCATGGTTCTCCAATCGACCTGCCTGGCATGGTAGGACCTGCAGGAACATATGTTCCAGCCAATATAGCTCGGTTGGGTCATCACGAAAAGCAAGCCTGATCACCACGTCAAGGTAGCAGCTAAGGTCGGCACAATTTTGTACAACTTCCGAAGTTGACACCACAACAAATTCCATTTGACATAACAGAGAATTTGAAAACTCAATCGTTTAGCTTTTCAATTTGAATTAGTTCGTAGTACAGTGGAAAGCATAATAATTGAAAGATAAATGAGCATACTATATATGTGATTGATAATCGGATGGGCAAATATTAAAATAGAATGTAATAACCAAATCAATATTTCATTAGAAAATGTACGTCGAAATCTGAGATCAATGAAATTTAGACATTAACACCGTTGGATGCCGGTTCACTGGTCTAGAGGTTAAGCGTTCACGCGCAAGACGGAAGGTCCTGGTTTCGGTTACCGTGAGAAAGGGTCGTGGATGCGCATTGTTGAAGAGTCCTTTAATAGGATAAAACGGCCGTCTAGCGTTTCCAAGTTTCTAATGGTGGTCTAAAAATGTTTGATTCAACATTTCAATTAGTTAACATTAAAAATATAAAAAATACAAACCATACCTTTAATTCAACATCATTAGCATCATTATTAGTTGCCGTTAAATTCATTGAATTCGGGTTACGTTTAGAAGTAAAAGATAATCTATTCTTGTCAATGATTTTATCGATACATTTTTGTTTTTGATGTGGCTGATGTTGTTGTTGCTGTTGTTCTTCCAATCTAGCAAACGAATCAATAATATTTCCAATACAATTCTGAAATGATTTACCCATATCATTATTAGATTCACGATTAGTTGATGAGAATCGATGAATAAATGTTTGATATTCATTAAACGATTGTGGTGTCCAATCTTTTTTAACGCTATCATTATTGTTATTATTATTATTAACAGTAGCAGTATTAGTAGTAGTAGTCACAGTATTATTTGTTAAATCTACTTGATATTTATCATCTGATGAAGTTGATTCTAATGAATGACGTATAAATGATAAAGATTCTGGCAGACCAAAAGTTACAATTAAACCATTTGTAGTAAAATGAACACCAGATGTTCTAGGGAAAGGAATACCCATTGTATGATGAAACTTCCGTTTAACTAAACCTGTTGTATCCATAGTTGATCTGTTTAATTTATTCACAGTAACATTAAACATATCATGATTTGTATGAGATGAATTGGACAATTTCAATTTTGTGAAATTATTTTCTATCTGCAAACAAAATCAAAGAAAATGACGGACCAAGAGTAGAACTAAGAGTGAATTTTGTTTTATTTAGCAGAGAAGAAATGAATCATAAACAAGTATGCAAGATAAAAATAACAAAATTCAAAAATAGTACTGATACCTAAGTAATAGATTAACACTTAAGATCAAACTATAAATATGAATCTAACAGTATAAAAGACAGATTAAGATGGTTCAGTGCAGCTGATGAACTTATTGTACATTGATCCATAATCTTTCGCACTGTAAAAGGGTTTAACGTTTTCCATGAACAACGAAATAACTTCTAGATCTGTAAGATAGGATACCACTCTTACATAATCCAACTTGACCATGCGATAACGTACTTACTGTGATTACATTCTGATAGTCCCTGGAAATTGTGATAAAACTAAAAACACTTAGAAAAATCATTTCCCAAAGAAACAGATGATGATTACAGTGAGAAACTCATGAGTATATTTTTAAAAGTCATGCTCCAAAAATACAAATTTTACGTGAGCATACGAATAGACTGACCAGTTTTGATTGAATGAGGAATTCCCCATCACAATGGTTTAACTCAAGTTGACAATTATAATTATTGTCTGAAGTTAAATATCTCTATACTTCAATGTATTACTAATTCAATTACTGTAACATTTCAATGATGCACTTACTTGATTATATGATGTAGGATATGTTTGTAAAGTGATCACAGCATTTCTTATACATGGTTCAACACAACCACGTGAGGTAGATACTAGTTCAGTTGCAGTTGAATATAAAACCTGAATATGGGAGAAAATGATACAGCTATTAGTAGCCTTACATAAAATACACAGACACAAAGGAACTAAAAGTTGAAAATAACCTATTTTGAAGACGGTGAAACATATAATTCCGATTTTTAACTGATGGATTATTTTCTCTTAGTAATTGGTATTTTGATGGCAGTTAATTTAAATCAACAGTTAAGAGTAAGTTAATTATACGAAATATTCACGTTATGTAGGATGACCTACAATGTTCAGTGACAGATAAGAGAAAAACACCGAAACTTTATTTTAAAGTTGATGACTGAAAACTCTACAGACTGGATATGGAATGTTAATCGTTTACTATTATTGAGCTTTGTAAAAACAGTGATTTTCTCATAGTTAACACGCAGTCTTTTACAACTTTAATTTACAAGGAATGAATCATTTGAATTCTTATCAAGTGAAAAATTATTTCAGCTTTTCGAATTTATTGTTCGTTAAGAATTATTATTTACGTATTTCTAACTGTAGTATCTCGCATCAGCAGAATAGTAACTAAAGGATTTGACATTTAAAAGGTGGTAGGTTTATATTCCGCTGCACTTTGGTTTATCCGACAGAGTAACATCAGCAACTCACAGAATATGAAGTATATCACAAAGCTCAGTGAATGAATCTCTACTGCAATAGAAAACAGTTAGGCTTATCCCGTCGTTAGTATTTTGATTGATATTTGATCAGTCATGGTATGCATTTGGGTATTCTGTGAGGTCTACCTCCACAAAACCATTACGAAACAAGTTGATAAAGAACAGATGGAATGTGGTTAACAGTAGAGTACAGGACGTAGGTTTTGGCCCATATGAGACTCGTCAGCTGGATATACATTCAACAACATCAATAAAGGTGTAATCCAAAACAATTAATAATTAATTGATATCACATACTTGTTGCATAAGTGAGTATCTATCTGGAATCAGTAGCTAAGTGGATAACCTGATGGTGTTCGAAGCAAATAGACTAGGTTTAAGTGCCGAAGTGGAGACCAACTCTGGAATAAGCGCACATCTAGCTGACGATCACCAGATAGAATGAATTATGCGTCCAGGATTCTGCTGCTAGCCACATTTCATATGTTCTATATCAATCTGTTACTTTGCTAATAAACTTACAGTAATATGGTAGTTACAGTTTGAAGCATCGATGTGAACTTGGTCTTCCATTTAGCGTATGTTACATCCCGCTGAATATTTGTTCCACGCACTGGCAACTGAATGAAACATTTCGTTGTAATTAACAATAACAATCACCGTTGTTTTTCGTTATCGTTGACAAACACTGGTCAGTGAGTGTGCAACGGTTTTAAATTATACCAATTTAGTTTCGATTTATATGTGAACATACAAATATTTACTAAGATTTGTGTACGATCAGCTGATTGTTCAAAAAATCAAAACCAAACACATCCAAGTATTACACTAATAATGGCAATCAAAATACTAAAGATATCACTGAGGCAATCTTTAAAAGAAGGTAGTGAAGAGAGAAAGGAAGGACTAGTACGTAAAAACTTACATTTCTTAATTCATCTAATACTTCCGGAGGTAATGATGGACTGCAATCAAGTACATGAAACTCTGGTATAGCTCCGTTCAACGGATAATTATCAGGAAATTCTATACTTAAAATAATCGAACCAGCTAATGGCATTTCACAGTTACGTATATTGTTGACATTTGAATTTTGTAATTCATGGTTATTGTCCATAGTTATGGTAAATGAATGGGTTGACGAACAGTTTGTTAAATGTGTATTCTCATCATTATCAACACTAACAGAACTATTACTAGTGCTAGTCTGATTTGATATTGTATGGTCAGTATCAGTTGTTGATGATAAATTACGATGGCGTACTTTCCGAAAGTTTGAATGTTTAGAAAATTCCATTTGCGAAATTAGATCAGTAGTTGAAGGTAATAGTAGACTATCAAGCCCTTCATTATTCATTACAGAACTATGACGTCGTGTTCGAAATGTATTAGTCACTGAACATAACGAATAATGATGATGATGATTACGGCGACAGTAGAATAGAATTAATTTTGCTGTACGATTAATAAGATCCATTTCTTCTAACTTATACTAAATATGTTAAAAGTTCGAAAAAACATCAACAATAATAAACTTTTTAAAATATGATAATCAATAATTATAATAACAGTTGGAATCGAAAATGGGGTTAATTCATTTTATAAATCCGTAATGAATGCTTTCGTATGAGTATGGGTAGATATAGCCACTGCCACGGAAGTTTCACCCACTACCGTCTCTTGGCAGGAATGTTGTTTACGAAATTGAGAGGACGAAAGGCAAGTGTCCGGAGCTTTAAATGGGTTAGCGGAAACAGAGGATCAACCAAGGAGAGTTGAGAAAACAATAACTCCAAAGCAGTGTTGTACATGTGCTTTAGTATTCTGATGTAACGAATGGCGTATGAACCTATTGCTGGTCATCGTTTACCATGGGAATGAAACTCTCAACGCTGCTCCACTGCATTGTGGACTAAACCTCTTGGTAAAAAGCTCAGGCCAAAAGTCAAAAATGAATCCCCTTGCTGCTTGCTAGCACTGCGGCTCACGACACCATGTACAGAACTTCCGATTTAGGAGACATCGATGCAGGGAGTGTACGGTCATCGGTCATAAGGATGGTTTATGTCTAAAGAAAACGCCGAACCGATTGAGAAGCGCCAAGACGTCTGTTCCTAGATCCTGTACCAATTCATTGCGCCTAACATCTGCTTGACCTAATTGTAGAGTGCATCGATTTTGGATTTCGAAATCATACCCCAAAAGTATCAAGGCCCATCGCTGAATACGATTTGCAGAATGAGCTGGAATGCTAGATTTAGAACCGAATACTGCTAACAGAGGCTTGTGATCTGTGAGGAGCGTGAATCTCCGACCGTACAGAAACTTGTGGAAACGGCGAACTGCGAACACAAGAGCAAGAGCCTCTTTCTCTATCTGGCTGTACTTCTTTTCTGCTGGGGTTAGTGTACGGGATTCATGTACAACGGCTTTTTCTGACGCGTCTGGAAACTGATGTGAGATAAGAGCACCTAGGCCATATGCTGAAGCGTCTGCTACTACGATGATCGGCATGGATGGATCGTAGTGTGTTAATAACAATTCTGAGCTAATTATAGACTTGAGTTTACCAAAAGCCGCGTCACACTCTTTAGTCCAGTTCCATGTGCTATGCTTCTGCAGTAGAAAATTCAATGGAGCGCGAATATCATGCATCGAGGGAACAAATGCTGAATAATAACTGATTAATCCGAGAAAAGATCGTAATTCCGAAACATTAGTGGGAGTAGGTATCGGTTTGATAGCTCGGATGTTCTCAGGATCTGGTCTGCGACCATCGGCATCGAAGATGAATCCCAAATACTTTGCCGACTGCAATAAAAACTGGCATTTCTCTAGGCGTAACCGGAAACCGTTGTCACTGATGCGTTGTGGTACCAATGTCGTGCGTTCCCGTAACTGTTCTAACGTCTTCGCAACAATTAAGATATCATCGAGATAAGCTGCAACCCCTGAGATATCTGATAGGATAGTATCCATTAGTTGTTGGAAGATAGATGGGGCAGTCTTAACTCCAAAAGTCAGACGGTTGTACTGGAACAAACCACGATGGGTATTGATAGTAAGCAGCTCTTTAGATGCTTCATCGACTTCCACTTGCAAATAAGCATCAGCTAGGTCAAGCTTTGCGAAGAACTTTCCCCCATTCAGCATAGTGAACAGATCTGCCGGGACTGGCAGAGGATAATGATGCTGTTCTAGAGCTGCGTTGAGACCTGTAGAGAAGTCAGCATATATACGTATCGTGCCGTTGGCCTTCTTGATAACGGCTATAGGTGCTGCCCAACTGGAGTAAGAAACGGGAGTAATAACTCCTTGTCGTTGAAGGCGATCCAGCTCTTCATCTACTGTTGCTACTGTTGCATAAGGTACGGGTCTCTTTGGACGAAAAGCGGGCTTAGCCCCAGGTTTCAACCGAAGTGTTGCTTTCATGGCAGTGCACCGACCTAATCCAGGTTCGAAAATGGTTGAAAACTCCGTCATCAGCTTCTTCGTATATGATTCGGGGTCATGTGGTTGTGATACCAGGTGGCATATGGTATTTAACGGGACATCAGCCAATTTTAGCTGGTCGAACCAATCTAAACCAAGTAAATTTAGATCAGCTGGCGTTAAATAATATACCCCAGTAAATGACGAGTCTCGGAAGGCAACTTTACATTCCAATTGTCCTAACAGACGAAGGCAATTACCACATGCTCTACGAGGCTTCTGTGTAGTGTGCTGCAGGCTTGGGCTACCCAATTCGGTCCAATTTTTGCGTGAGAGGATAGTGACATCAGATGCAGTATCTATTTGCAATCTACGCAAATGCCCGTTAACATTAAGAGTCAAAGCTCATGACCAGGTGAGAGAAAATTCATTACTCTTAATGTGTAGATTGCAAATAGATACTGCATCTGATGTCACTATCCTCTCACGCAAAAATTGGACCGAATTGGGTAGCCCAAGCCTGCAGCACACTACACAGAAGCCTCGTAGAGCATGTGGTAATTGCCTTCGTCTGTTAGGACAATTGGAATGTAAAGTTGCCTTCCGAGACTCGTCATTTACTGGGGTATATTATTTAACGCCAGCTGATCTAAATTTACTTGGTTTAGATTGGTTCGACCAGCTAAAATTGGCTGATGTCCCGTTAAATACCATATGCCACCTGGTATCACAACCACATGACCCCGAATCATATACGAAGAAGCTGATGACGGAGTTTTCAACCATTTTTGAACCTGGATTAGGTCGGTGCACTGCCATGAAAGCAACACTTCGGTTGAAACCTGGGGCTAAGCCTGCTTTTCGTCCAAAGAGACCCGTACCTTATGCAACAGTAGCAACAGTAGATGAAGAGCTGGATCGCCTTCAACGACAAGGAGTTATTACTCCCGTTTCTTACTCCAGTTGGGCAGCACCTATAGCCGTTATCAAGAAGGCCAACGGCACGATACGTATATATGCTGACTTCTCTACAGGTCTCAACGCAGCTCTAGAACAGCATCATTATCCTCTGCCAGTCCCGGCAGATCTGTTCACTATGCTGAATGGGGGAAAGTTCTTCGCAAAGCTTGACCTAGCTGATGCTTATTTGCAAGTGGAAGTCGATGAAGCATCTAAAGAGCTGCTTACTATCAATACCCATCGTGGTTTGTTCCAGTACAACCGTCTGCGTTTTGGAGTTAAGACTGCCCCATCTATCTTCCAACAACTAATGGATACTATCCTATCAGATATCTCAGGGGTTGCAGCTTATCTCGATGATATCTTAATTGTTGCGAAGACGTTAGAACAGTTACGGGAACGCACGACATTGGTACCACAACGCATCAGTGACAACGGTTTCCGGTTACGCCTAGAGAAATGCCAGTTTTTATTGCAGTCGGCAAAGTATTTGGGATTCATCTTCGATGCCGACGGTCGCAGACCAGATCCTGAGAACATCCGAGCTATCAAACTGATGCCCACTCCCACTAATGTTTCGGAATTACGATCTTTTCTCGGATTAATCAGTTATTATTCAGCATTTGTTCCCTCGATGCATGATATTCGCGCTCCATTGAATTTTCTACTGCAGAAGCATAGCACATGGAACTGGACTAAAGAGTGTGACGCGGCTTTTGGTAAACTCAAGTCTATAATTAGCTCAGAATTGTTATTAACACACTACGATCCATCCATGCCGATCATCGTAGTAGCAGACGCTTCAGCATATGGCCTAGGTGCTCTTATCTCACATCAGTTTCCAGACGCGTCAGAAAAAGCCGTTGTACATGAATCCCGTACACTAACCCCAGCAGAAAAGAAGTACAGCCAGATAGAGAAAGAGGCTCTTGCTCTTGTGTTCGCAGTTCGCCGTTTCCACAAGTTTCTGTACGGTCGGAGATTCACGCTCCTCACAGATCACAAGCCTCTGTTAGCAGTATTCGGTTCTAAATCTAGCATTCCAGCTCATTCTGCAAATCGTATTCAGCGATGGGCCTTGATACTTTTGGGGTATGATTTCGAAATCCAAAATCGATGCACTCTACGATTCGGTCAAGCAGACGCTTTGTCACGACTCATTAATGATCAAGTGGCGACGGGTAAAAAGGAAAAGAAATCGAGGTGCCTATCTCAGATGACCAGCTTAACCGAATAGCAACAACAGTAAGCACAATTAGATTCACAAATGCGGTTGTTGGATACTCTAACTCAACAGCCCAAAATCCAGTGTTCGAGTCTACATGCTTTTTGAATAAGTCTTGTGAAGCAGTGGCAAACAGCATACCAGAATTCATCTATAATCCTGAATGTGGAAATACTTTTCTGACGTGGTTCAAACGTTGTGATGAAACATTTAGAATTGAATTCGGTAAACGATGCGTGGAAGACTCGCTTGTTGCTGCGTAAGTTCGGAAGCGACGAATATGCTCGCTATGCTGATCACATATTACCAAAGTTACCTCAAGAGCTCAGTTTCGAGAACACGCTAGTTCAGCTGTCACAGGCTTTCGGCGAATCATCTTCATTGTTTAGTGTTAGATATCACTGTCTAAATCTGGTGAAACACAAAGATGATGAGTATGAGGTCCTTGCAGACATGGTCAACAGAGAATGTGAACGGTTCAAGTTACGCTCGTTGACAGAAGACCGATTTAAGAGCTAAATATTCGTTAAAGCTCTTCAGTCACCGCAAGACGCTGAGATCAGAACCAGACTTCTATCCCAACTGGATCAAGACCCGAACGTCACACTCAGAACATTGACAGATGAGTGTAAACGACTACAAAGTATCAGACACGACACCATGTTGATTGAACAGGTAAATCCTAATTTAACCAGCAGTGATGTCAATGCCATTATTAGGTTAAAAGTCCAGAAGCCGATAACATCTTGTAACAAACCAACTACGGCATGTTGGTTATGTGGTGATTGGCATTACGTACGATTCTGTCCATTTAAAAAACATAAATGTCAGATGTGTAACAAACGTGGACATAAAGAAGGCCATCGTCAAGCGAA